CAGAAATTAATATTGTTTCTCCATAAAACCTTTTAACTCCCAATTCATCCTTACAACGTTTAAATTTTATGTAATGTCGCCATCTTAGATTTCAAATACAAACGTAGAAACAACATTTCATCCTTAACGATCAATTTTTAAAAATTGCCAAAACAGGTATTTGTTTAATTTCAACAACGAGCAACCTTCGAGTAAATCCGAGTACAAATAGAATATACCCCATGGAAACGTTGCAACCTCTTTTCATTAGATTAATAATAAAACAGTATATATACCATGTTTCAAGTAAATTCAATCACAAATAAAGTATGTCCCAAATAAAAATTGCAACACCTTTTTACTCTCCTCTTTGGAAGTTCAATTTTTTAAAATGTGAGAAAATATATGTTCCATTTAAACATTGTAACTTCTATTCACCACTCCTCCCCCTCAATAGAGAGTGAATTTTTGTTATGCCATTTTTAACCAATGAACGGCTAGACTGATGTTTTGACCGATAAATTTTTCGTTTTGCTGTCAGTTGCGTTTTCTTATACCACTTTTTATTACGTCAAGTTCCACGGGAACGGAATAAAAAAAAGTTGCCTATGTCCGTCTCCTGGTTCTAAGATACCTCCCCACCAATTTTCAGCCAAATCGGTTCAGCCGTTCTTGAGTTATAAATAGGGTAACTAACACGACATTCTTTTATATATTTTATTTAGATTAACAGGCAGTTATACTTAGTAGTTAACTTACTACCAATTAGTATTCCTTATTGACAACTGTAATAGTTGACTTTTATTATACATATACATTATCGAGTACATTTCTAACGGTTTCTCTCAACTAAATAAAATGTTTATTTAATTTTCAAAGCTGCCAATTTTGGGTGATATAAAACAAATCGTTATTCCCAAGTAAAGTTTCGGGGATTGGGGTTCGGCAACAGTAAGCAGGAAGGGTATTGTTGGTGGTGAAAGACAGCACCCTCTTTACAACTCGCGAGCTATCACGCCGTGTTTACGAGGTTTATATCCTGTTTGCTTAACAGTCTCGTTAACTGTGCAAATAGCGGCACTAATGCCGCACTTATATATGGGTTTATTATCAGATGCGGCGAGGTGGTGATAGGGGGTTGGGGCGGCGGCAGGGACGACGCTGGTGATGAAACAGTACTCTGCGAACAAACATTGAATGCTACATTGTCTGTATCTATTGTCGGGTGCTACTTGTAAAATGTTACCACCACTTAATGGCCAGTAGATGCGAACGATCTGGTAATAACAATCGCATAAGTCATAAATTTAAGATGACTTTGACATATTCACAACTTAGTTGTGGTTACTAACGACACGAATTTCCAATAACACTATTAAATTGGTACTATAATAAATACACATATAGGCACCTAATAAGAGTAAAAATTGTTACTGTTACAGAGTGGATGGACTTATTATTTGCTGAAACACATCGTTTGTTTCACATTATCCTAACTAATATTATAAATGCGAATGTGAATCTGTTTGTTTGTTACACTTTCAGGCGTTAACTACTCAACCGATCATCATAAAATTTTATACACGCATCGTCAGAGGTACAGAAAAGGACATAGGGTACCTTTTATCCAGAAAAACAATACTGTTGCCGAGGAATAGAAGAAAATTTGTTTAATGTGGTCGTCAATGATTTTTGACATGTATTTTGAACATCAACGCGAGCGAAGCCGCGAGTAAAACCTATCATCAAATGGTGTACACATATTGTTAGGAGTACAGAAAAGGTCACAAAGTACCTTCTATCCAAAAACAAAAAATACTGTTAGCGTGGGATAGAAAAAAATTTGTTTTATGTGGTCGTCAATGATCTTTAATACGTATTTTGGACATTAATTGGAGCGAACAAAAATTTTAACTTTTAAATTTATCTGTAAATATGGTAATAGGATTGGACAAAAGCAGACTTATTACCACCATAAATTTTAAAGCAACACAAAAATTATTGTTCGCAAATAGTTAGGGATGTGGGATATTCTAGTTTTAGGGAAATGCTCAGGATAGGAAACAGTGAAATAGTAGAAACTAGTCTTAGGACGTACTACCTATAATGATGATAATAATATTATATTGCCAAACATATAATCAAACCTAAATTGTAGTTAAATGATAGTTTCACTTTTGTCGTCGACCCATTCCTTTACCTTCCGCAACTGTAATCAAATTGCTACATGTAATGGATGTAGGTCCGTTTTTGTCTCGGTTCCACTTTTGTCCAAGTCCGCTTCTGTACATAATTCTTTCTTATAACCCTCAAATTGGACTTTCTGTAATAATTCTTCCGCCCTTTTGACGCACAGGAAATTGTTTTAAATTTCTCGCATGTTTCCGCGTCTATTTTTTTGCTATGACTACTGTCTTCGTCTATCCGTCTTTTTCTTCATTTTCTATCAAAATGACTTCTACCTCGTTTCTTACCTACATTATTATTACAGTATCTACCCTGCTTTTCTATGATTCCTTTTAAATGTGTTATATGCATAAATCTTATTAGTTTTGCCTACTTTAGACTTCGTTGTTCGTAACTGCCTTACACTTTCTAATTGTTTCCCAATTATTATAGTACTATCAATGTGATATTTATGGTGGATTTGAATGTGGAACGATATAATAAAAATAGAAAAAAGATTTTTAGCTTGTGCTAGATGTTGCTGATTTAAAAATTAACTTTAAACAAATTCGTTGCTTACTTTTATACTAACAATTTAATCAACTACAAGTAAGTTTAATAAATAATCTATATACATAAAAAAAGACATGTTAGTTACACTATTTATAAATGAAGAACGGTTGAACCGATTTGGCTGAAAATTGGTAGGGAGGTACCTTAGAACCAGGATACTTTTTTATCCCGTTCTCGTGAAACTTAACATGAAACGGTATAAGAAAACGCAACTGACATGGAATAACAACACGCAACTGACAGCAAAACGAAAAATTTATTAGTCAAAACATCAGTCTAACCGTTCATTTGTTAAAAATGCACAACAAAATACAATCTCTGTTAGGGGGGAGGAGTGGTGAATAGGAGTTGCTATGTTTAAATGAGACATATATTATTTGTGGTCAGATTTACTTGAAACTTGGTCTTAATGGTCTCTCATTTAATTTCTGAAAGACCTATCTCGACATTTTAAAAAAATTCAACCTCCAAAGGGGGAGGGGCAAAAAGGTGTTGCAATTTTTGTTTGGGACATACTTTATTTGTGGTTAAATTTACTTGAAACTTTTATATTATTAATCAAATGAAAAGAGGTTACAACGTTTCCATCGGGTATATTTTATTTGTACTCGGATTTACTCGAAGGTTGCTCATTGTTGAAATTAAGCAAATACGTGTTTTGGCAATTTTTAAAAAGCAACCCTTAAGGATGAAATGTTGTTGCTACGTTTGTATTTGAAATCTAAGATGACAACATTACATAAAATTAAAACGTTATAAGGGTTGATTGATAAAAGCTTTTATGGAGAAACAATATTAATTTCTGTGAGCGAAGCCCTTGCGAAATGCTAGCAAAATATAAAAATATGTATATAATGTAGGAGAAGTATTCATTAAAGCGGGATGCTGACGGGATGGGTTGGTATAATATATTCGAGGATCTAACTGTATCATTACTTATAAATCACAATCCGCAATCCCTTGTTTGGTTAGTCAGACAAAACTAATTAATTTCGCAATTGGTAACAAAGAACATTGAATCCGAACTGAAATTTAGCGTAGCCACAAACCGAATAATTAACGCATTCAGATCAAAGAGCCCGCATATTAATATCGTCAATTGCATTACTGTAGGCACACAATTTTCCAACACAATGGCGCAGATAGGTACAAGTACACTGTCATGGTGTACTTTGAAAAAATAGTGAAGCTACAAAATATTGTATTGACGATATTGTGGTTTTGATTTGGGATATGTCAAACAGACATTGGATTACGTGTTGGTAGAACTTAAGAATAGTGCAGATAGATTGTAAAATTCTTTGTTAAAACCATAAAACGCGTTAAATAAATGAAAATAAATTGCTTTATTTATTGCATTTTCGCATCTTCTGGCAGTATCTCACCAACTGATGCGTCTCATTGGCCTTTTAATATAAGTAAACAATGTCTTGAAAAATTAGGATCTGTCAACTTTGGTCATCTTGCGGTCCAATTAATCTCATCGTTTCTGGAGATTAATCGACATGGAAACGTTCTTCTAGGTTTTCCAATTGTGTCCTGTTTCGTATGATTCGTGATTCATTTGACGAAGCAAAAAATTGTTAAAGAAGTCACGGTTGCGATCGCCAGTAGAACCTGTGGATTCACCTCAGAAGCAGGGCTAAATAACCCTATTTAACCAGGTTTTTTCATCAAACTCGATGAGGATGCTTGTGGATCGGCAATGGTAGTTGGCTGGCTGATTCCTTAATTTATTTAAGACAAAATTACTTAAATTATGACGGCGTTCGAGGTGTCGAGGTTCACTTTTTTGGGATAGTTGATCTTATGCGGAAACGCAGATCTCTCTTTAGAGTACTCCGTGAAGAACTACCCTTAATTCTCATTTATTCAAAATACCGCTATACTTTCAATATTCTGCCCCGGATGAGTCTTCATGTGACATGAAGGGGAACTGATTTATTATTTGAGTTATTCTAATTCAGGAAGGTAACTTGTTTCTACCTAAAATTAAACACAACTTTTTCAGTAATTTCCGCTGTGAAAGACTGATTTGCGCGCTTTGAATGTAATTTCAAGATTTTAGTACAAAATAAATAATTTTGTTAATTAAAAATGCTACGTATTTAATGTGCTCATGGTGGTTCTTGAGTCATATTACAACTAATTTCGTCTCCATTTAATAAGTAATACAATACTTATCATGCAAAAGAAAATTTTTTTATTGATATATCGTACTTATATTTTGCTTTTTAGTGTTGTATTTTTTGAATTGTAATGCATTTTTCTTTTCATTGCAGAATATCACTGGATGGAAAAGGGACCTATACTGAATCACCTATACGGGATCACTGGATGGAAAAGGGTTCTATATGAAGTTGAAATTTAAGTAGATATTATTTGAGTTTAATCGTAATTCGACGAATAAAATCTTGAAAAACTGATGTTCAACATACTATGCACATTTTTTCTTCAATTAATTTCAAAATTTCAGTGGTTTATTAATAGTGCAACTGATATCAAAATAACAATTACTTTATTTACTTTTAATGTCACTCTTTCTAATAAGTTAAAATTTTAATGTTGTTTTGTTTAGTTTAAAGGACTGTAGCACTTTTTGTTTAATTAATTTTTGAGGCGTTGTTTTAAATATTTTTTCTCTTTTATTGGTTAATATTTCCGAAGTAACTTCTTTTAAATTAATACTGAATTTAGGTGTGCATATCGTAATCTTTCGACGTCTGAAATTCTTTCAACGTTCTGATATACGTATGTGGCGCCAATTTGTAAAATTCGAGTCGACAGTTTTTATAAAAATTTATAGTTTTAGACGTAGTAAGGATACTGTTTTCTCAATACAATACACAGATCAGCTGTTTTCGGCTAAAATAATCATGAATATTATTTCTGAAAGTTTTGTGGAATTTTGGGTTTTAACTGTTCATTTAGTTACGTTCCACAACAGTGTGTATTAACAGAATAAATAGCCTTATTGAAAATTTTTCAATATTAATTGAATAGAGTACATAGATCATAATAAATAAAATATAAAAAGACTCAGGTTTTGGTGACTTCATCAGGCGAGATGACGTACAAACTGTGATGATTTGGTATTCTTGATACATAAATCGAAAACAGTAGCCATTTAATCTTTTAGCAAAACCATTATTTAATTTCAGTTATCAAATCTTCCGATTTTTTTATTTTATAAGTTTTGTAATATTCATTTATTCTTGTTTGGATTTTAGAATTTACGGATGAAATTAGTTCAAAATTATGTACAATCGTGGAAAACCCAGTTAATCCGTTACTACCTTTTTAAATGGTAGCGCTATGTAACAACTAAAAGATTTTCAATTCAAATTCAAAAAAGAAACAAGCAATTTCGTAAGCATTCTATTGTCAAATAAAATAAGAAACACAATTTTAAATATACTACACACCTTCACACCCGTATATAATTATAATTGTCCCGCATGTTTTCGTACATTCGAATTTGCACAACAGCTTAAAATAATGACTGCAATAAATACTTGACAACTCAACTTCAATATAAAAAATATACAAAAAACATTAAATAAATGATATCAAGTATATNAATTTTGAAAATTTTAACCTATCGAGACACCACTTATTGAGAGATTCAAGTTTCTCGTTCAGAGATTGGATACGAAATGAGAATCTCTTTATGAGCTACTCGAGTCTCCCGTTCAGAGACGCTAAACAGTTTTTTTGACAGTCTCTCGACAGTCTCTCTCAGCGACACCAGAGGGACTCGATGAGAGACGGAGACTCGAGTCTCGCTTTCAGAGACTCTGAGAGACTGAACATTTTTATCTCAGATGTTAGGCATTAATTAGTAATATTGCGCTTGGAAATAGTACCTAATGAGCAAAGCAAGACCGACACCAAGTCCAAGACTGTCTCAGTCTTGGTATTGGTCTTGATCTTGCTCAAATACTTCTTGTCTTGATTTTGCTGATATGGTCTTGGTCTTAGTCATGTGTGTTAAGTTTTGGTCTTGCTCATTTAAACCGATACTTACGTTTTTTTAAATAATTTTTTTAAGCACAAATTTTTGTATTTACAAATGCAATAATTGTTTTAAATGCCGAAATTTTCTGTCATACATGCGAGATTGTCATGACTTTTAAAGAAAATCATTTCGGTAGTTATGGGAGTTATGAAAACTCGAGGACTTACTTCCTCCAATGCAGAGGTTGATCCTTTTTCCAACGCATAAATTGACCTTTTAGCGTACAATGTACAAGCCACTTGAAAGAAGTAATAAATATGGAAAGAAATTAGTTTGTCTCTATATTTCAATCATGCACGGAGAAAATGAAAAAGGAAACTTTACCTAAATATTAAAGCGATATTTACAATTTATCCCACTAGTCCATTGCTTCGTAAGCGAAAATAATAAAAATTACAATTTGGACCCGAATTTGTAAAAATAAAATTCAAGCAGAAATAAATTTACTAGGTATTGTAGTTGATATTACAAATTAAATTGCAATAATTAAGACACTTAAAATAATTTTTAAAAAAGCATGTCAAAATTGAAATTATTAAGTTACCTAATAAATTCTACTATTTCTACGGCAGATTTAGTCATTTACAATCAAAAATCGTAATTTTTGCTTTGCAATAAAAATTTAGTTTTCTCCATGTAGGTCAGACGGGTCGATCATTGTAATAAAGAAGTCATTAATGACCATTTCAAGATTTATAAAATAAAAACGTTTATACCATCACGTACCTACTACATTAACAGCCGCAAATAATAATAATTTTGAAATTCTACATACCATTAACGAAAGCCAAAAATTAAAGAAATAGATCAGAATGACAAAATAACAGAAATAATACAATATCAAAAGATCAACCGGAAGTAAGCAACACGCCCCTCTTAAATCTTCACTTGTAAACTTAAATTTGACCCTCGCCCCAGATAGTTTATATCTAATACTTAAGTTAGTCTAATAACGTTTCAAAAATTGAATGTCTTAAGTTGATCATTTCTTGTAAATTAGTATATACCTATTTGTTTCTTTGAATAGGTTTCGAGAGATAAAGACGATATGTTGACATTTTACAAATAATTATTTTAAGGGTCTGTTATAAAAAAATCGCAATTTTTTTAATACGATAGGAAGAAAAGTGTAATAATTGTTAATAGTTTCAAAACCTAATCCTGTTATGTGTTGATTTTCAACCTTTATTTATAAGTTAATTCCTGATTGTGACTAATTTTA